ACAGGAACACCTTCGAGCCAGAACTATAAGGCGATTAGCAACCAAAGCTTGCAAAACACAATGTAACTACGCTCCGAGCGATGACACAGGAACACCTTCGAGCCAGAATTACAATGGGGGAACGCTCCGGGCACAGACCATGGAATCGCATTTCCCAATGAGTATGAAGTCCGCAGCGCACATTCGCGACATCCTTGCGACCAGAATTACAATGGGGGAACGATCCGGGCACAGACCGGGCACAGACCTTGGAATCGCATTTCCCAATGAGTATGCGGTCCGGACCGCACATTGGCGACATCCTTGTGACCAGAATTATAATGGTGCGCCCAGCCGCGCTCAGACAAAATGTACGTTTCACCACACGTTCGTGCGCTCGACACGCACGATCTCCGCAGAGGGTTGCTCGAGGGCAAACGCGATTCGCGTCTCACCACACGCGCGCGCGATCGATGGCCACGATTCCACGAGAGGGTTGCGTTTCGTAAGACCTGCTCGCACCGCCCCGCCGCCTAAAGAGAAGAATAAAGAAGAAGTTGGGTAGGTGAAGTTGGGTAGGTGTCTTAAGGAAGATGTCTACACCTACCTATCTTCACCTACCTATCTTCACCTACCTATCTACACCTACCTACCTACACCTACCTGTCTATACCCACTTATCAATACCTACCTATCAATATCTACTTCTGATGTACTTTGATATTGTTGATCTGATACTTCTACTTCATATGTTATGTTGTGATGTGATATTATTTTATCACATGATATGAGATGATATGATCTGACATTGATGTGATGTGATATGATATTAAAACATGATATGATATGATATGTTATGACATTGATGTGATGTGATATGATATTATAACCTGATATGATATGATAACCTATGAGGTGATGATTAGATGATGATGTTGTGAGGGTGAAGTAGGAGAAAGTTAGTAAAGAATATGAAGTAAGGAAGGTGAAGTAGGATAAAGAGAGTCAGGAAGAGAGAGTGGGGAAGATGAAGTAAGAGAAAGAGAGTAAGGAAGAGAGAGTGGGGAAGATGAAGTAAGAGAAAGAGATTAAGGAAGATGAAATAGGCAGCAGTGCTTAAGGAAAAACCCTTCGCAGGTGCTTTCGGGAAAAAACACGCCAGGATCTGAGGGATTGGCTTTACAAGAAGCAGTTCCCCTATGTGGCTCCTGGGACTGACAGCCAAAACAAGGGCGGCCAATCCATGCGAAGGAATCCAGAGGTCATGGTCCGGGGGATTCCGTTGGGTGGATGGGAGTGGTTTGTTGGGTTTGTTGGAGACGGAGTCCCTAGCATTTAGCATCTAGGACCCACAAGTCTAGCATCTACTGTAGGTCATTGTTGTGCCTATCTCAGAGTCTAGCATCGATCGGCTGAGATAGGCACTGAGATCAGCTGTCGTGGCTTGAATCCGACGCTTGGATCCGACGTCTCGAACGTCTCTGCCATCGGGAAGACCTTCGCCGCGTCGATGAAGGTTTGACCTGGAAGACCACCGGATGGATTCACGTGACGTGTCGAAGGGGGATTCTTCTAAGAATGGCTTACCTGGTTCTTCAAAGTGACCTAACCTGGTTTGAGGTCACTTAAGCCTCCTAAGGGTCACTTAGGAACCTTCGAAAGGTCACTTTGAAGAAGCTGGTAGGTGACGATATATTGCACGCCTCGACGTGCTAAGCTCTCATGGGATTGTCTGGCTTTTTGATCAGGTGGTGCAGTCTTGGTCTCTAGCGTTCGCTGGTGGTCGAAGATGGTGTCACAATAGCACAGGCGTCACCACATATTTGCGATGTGAAGATCAAAGATGGGCGAAGAAATGAAGAAAGGGGTCATGCGATGGAGTGATAGAGTGTATCGTGGGATATTTTCGCTTGGTCTTTTTGATGACCTCAGTGATGACCTTTTGGTCGTCCTCTTCTTCACCTCACCTCGCCATGTTCTTGGGAAGGTTTCGGGTCAACACTTTGGCCCCAAAAGGCTCCAGGATGAACGGAGCCCGGCTTCCGCCGTCCTCAGTACCACGGGTTGAACATGGCCCGGATGTTGCTCCGGATGTTGCTCCGGATGTCAGGGGCACGGCCGGGAGCGTTTGGTGGACTGGACTTGGCGACATCTTTTTTTCGGTTGCCCCAGTCTGTACAGGAGATAAAGACAACTGGATGATAGAAGCCCCTGTTGATACTCATCGAACATCATAGTATACACGTTGATTCAGCATCATTCTTTGCAGGGGATGCGCTTTCATCCAAAAACCACCACTTTTGCATGCATCTTGGGGCATTTTGTGACTGGTGCCGCATGCATTTTTAGGTTCAGGAGGGGTTGTCAGTTGAGGTTTTGTAACTGCTCACCGTCTTCCATTCCCGACGGGCGCCTGCCTTACGTCAGCCGACCGATTGGCGCTGCTCAGGTGAACTTGCTCTTCCACTCTTGGCTCTTCGACCAACTGCTTCGATCCCCGGAAACGACAGGGCAGGGGCAGGGGGAGGCGATCACGGCAGGCGATCGTCGAAAGGACTCAGGACTCGTCTGATCACGCTTTCAGCGACGCGACTGACTCGTCCGATCCGCTTCCCGCAGATCTGGCAGCAGGTCGGTGGGTCTCGGTCGCCTGCGGGGGGAAGCGTTTCTTCAATTCCGGGAGACACCGCAGCCAGCTCGCTGAGGCCCTACCGTAAAGAGGCCTCCACAGACATCGAGGCGCGCGAAGTGCTGGGCTCACGGGCTCCAGGGGAGGGCACAGAGAGGGGCAGCAGACGCAGACGCAGACGCCCTGGCTGGGCTGAGTGAAGTTGTGTAGAGCCGAAGCACTTCCAAACTGCCGGTGGAAGTGGTCAGAGTTGGAGGTGGAAGGCCTCAGGTCTTCGGTGTTGCTCGGCTCCTTTTTGGGGGGGTTCCGGTTCCTGTGCCTTGCGGACGCTGCGAACGACCAGGTGGCGATCTTCGGGACCGAGGGGGTCTTCCCCATGGCAGAGGCGGGAAGACGCGGCGGCGCCGGCGGCGTTTGGCTCGAGCGATTTGTTCGACTTTCTCTTTTTTTGCAGCGAAGCTAGGGGTCTTCTGCCATGGTAAAAGGGATATTGCTTGGGCTTATTTCGTTCCCACAGTATTTGTTCAGCCTCAAAGAGCCCGTTCCCAGCTCTCCAGCCGCCGCGCGGGGTGATGGACTGCGCCAACCAGTCACGCTGGATGACCTGGCCACGACGGCGCCCGAGGAGATAGTGCGAGTGGTGGTGGGGGCGAGGTTTCTGCGAGTACGCGAAACGTGCGATCGAAGCCGGAAAGACGTACCTGCAGCTTCAGGTCAACGGCCGCATGGAAGAGATCCCACTGACGACGGTGGCGCATGCGCTGGCGCATTGCCCACCGCTGCAGCCGGTGGTCCGGCACCTTGTGTCGGGGCAGTTCGAGCCTCTGATTGACCAGCTGGAGTCCCGCTCTCAGCTGATCCCCGCTGCACCGCGACAGCTGGTTCGGCAGCGTCGCTCGTTACAATCGCGCCCTCAACGCGCTCAAGAAGACCAAGGGCTTCAAGAGGCTCAAGACCGACATGCGCAAAGCGGAGGCGGAGGCGGCGAGAAGGGCAAGCGGGCCGGCGCAACAGCCTCTGAAGCAGAAGATCTCCTCTCGATGACGAAGTTGCACTGCTGCACGGCTCTACAGGGCGCGCCTGAGCAACGGTCGAAAAGAGAGCGCCTGCGGCCGGTTGTGGGCTCTGTTGTGGGCTCAACGGAGTTCTCTTTCAAAAAAGAACTTCAGGCGCTCCTCATGGGCTTCAGCCTTGCCTTTCCCAGTCCCAGAGTGCCGGACCCGGTGGTTTAATCGGTCTAACCGGTCTTCTTCGGTCGTCCCTTCGCGCCGTGTTCGCCCGGCGCGGCCGCACCGGCAGGGCCTGGGGAAGAGCTTCCGCGCCTTTCCGCAGAGCGTTTGGGTCAAGGAGCGGGAGAACGGACCTACGACGGCCACGGCGGGGGGGGGGAGATGGTGTGTGGATTTGGTGGAGGGTTGGGGAGGTGGGAGGGCAGGGGGGTACGAACAAAGAGGACCAGCGATTCAGCCTAGGCGTAGGCTACTATCTTTCGACATTGTGCGTGTTTTCATTTTTTTCTGGGAGGTTTTGGGATTTTTGAAGAGTCATCTTAGCAGTCCCCGTACTTGCAAGCCACCTTGAAAATGAAACCTGTCCCCATGCTGCAATACCATGACAAAGAGGCTGTGGGGTCATCCGGAGACCCAAACCTTGAGGATCGATGCGTCTCTTGCATTGGAAACAGTGAGGGCAGTGACCACCGTGAGGGCTGACCCAAACATCGTTTGTTCACTTCAAAGCCGAACTGCATGACTAATTCGGAATCAAGTGCTTGCGGCCACGGACGTCATTCTTTCGGCTTGTGCAAAGGGGGAAAGAGAAACACTTGAAAGCTGAACCAGCTCTGTGATCTTCAGCTTCCATGGGACCATCCAGGCTTCCCAAGGTCCAAAGAAAGACAGAGCACTTTCGGTGCTCCGGCCTATCCGGTCGCGGCTGGGCCCAGGACAAGGTCTACATGTGCATGGGCCCCGACGTGGCACACTTCCGGGTCGACCGGCAAAGGCGCGCGCGGTGGTGCTCTTCGCGGTCGGTCGGCCGAAACGACGAGGGACGACGGGGACGACGGGGACGAGGGACGACCCAGAGGAGCCACACTCGTTTTTTTTTTGCAAAAGGGTTGAGAGCAACTCCGAAGGGAGCCGGAAAATGTGGGGGGCCCTGAAGTTCGATCAAGAAAAAGGCGCACTCATCTAGGAAAACATCAAGCTGGTGCTGTGCCGGCCCATAGGCTTTTCAGAGGGAATCGTTGCGCCAGCAAAGCACGAATGGGACTCGATCTTTTGAACTCAGCTTTCTGAAAGTTCTCTCCAAGGAATTGCAGACTTTGTAGTGGCAGCAGGCCATTTTTCAGCGTTCTCTTGGATGGTCGGAGTCGGGAGTCGAATCAACCCTTTTGGCCCCGAACCAAAGACCACAGATCGTCAGATCAGTGCGAAACAAGTGTCTTCATGGAACTCTAGGGGTCAAGTGACAAGTGGTCGGTGAGTGAACAGTGAAGATTCTCCAATAAAAACGTATATAGTTCCATTTAAAAAAATCAGCTGCACGGCTCCCTTCTCATGTCCTCCATGAGTCCTTCTCTCTCCATGTCCTTCACCGGTCCCAACTTCTGAGCCTCCCTGGTCGCCGAAGCCCAGGCTGGTCACCTCCTTTTGGTCCCTCTGCATCCCTGCAGGGCAGGAGCGCGGTGCGACCGGACCGGGCGGGCGAGCCGAGCTGACTGGTGTGAGGAGGCGGACGGGCGCCCACCGAAAGGTTCGCCCCGCGCGCGCGCGCGCTCCCGGACGGCGCCGTGGAGGGTGGGGCCAGGTGCTCCCGTGGAGCTCGTGGTTCCTTCGTTTTTGGGTTTCTTGCCATGTTTTGGGACCAAGAGATATCTCAGAGATGGGGCCCACGCGCTGAGGCCCAGGGATGGGACGCTAAAGGCGAGGGATCGTTTCTTTTTTTTGGGAGTGGGGCGACAGGGCGACGGGGCGGCCGTTGCATGACATCGGGCACCGAAGAAAAGGAATTCCACAGGACTGATCACCTAGGAGTGAGAGCATGCAATAGTCGACCGGAGTGGTCAGGGCTGAGTAAAAGGGATGTAAAGGGGAAGCATCCTCAGGGTCCGTCGCATACCTTTTTGGTGGGATGGAGTCTGGAAGTTATCTCCTACGTTGGGTGCAGTTTGCAAACCCCTTTTTGAGGTCAATCACATCATCGATCTAAAGATTCAAATCCCAAGATATCGTTGAACCAGCTGAGGTTTCATTCATCCAGATGACTACCTGCCAAACAAACGTCGAATCCGACAGAGCTGAAGCTGGAAGATCCTTTCCTCTCCCTCCCTCACGGGGTGGTCGGTCTATGAGTTTCTATGTTACATACTCGAAGGGGAGGGGGACGCAGCAACTGATCACATAACTCGAAGGAGCGGGCCATCGCCACCAAGCATGTACTGCTGAATGAGACGCAGACGCACGTGCCGCGGATGCAGATGAGGGGGCAAACTGGTTCTTACTCATGGCAGATGGTCGTGTGTCCCACGCATTTGATGAAGACATGGCTGCGAAATAGATACAGTAATACAGTATATAAATTGAGCGAACCTGATTATTGACCTTGGTATTGGAAGTAGTTCTTTTGAGCCAAATCTATGACCTCCAGTAGCAGAAGTTCCTCATTGAGTTTGCTGGCCGGTGCCTTCTCCAAGAGGGTTGCCCCTTCTGAACCACTCCCAAACACCCTGCCAAAAGCACCTCAAAGAGTCCGTCGAAGTCGAAGGCGAAGAGAAAAGACACGTTCGAGCTCAGCTTTCAAACACCTGAACACCGGGCCCCCCCAGCTCAGAGCTCCACGTTTCTCCGTTGCGTTGCGTTGGATTTGCCGGGTTTTGGGACCACCCCAACACACTCCCAAACTTTCCACTCCCCAAAAAAAAGGCCCCACCAACCCCCGGAAGCGACAGACTCGGCCTCCTCGTCCTCCACTCGTTGCCACCCGCCCGCGTCGACCAGCGCCGCCTCCGCGACGTCCGCGGTTCCCAAGCGCCGAGATCTCGAAGCAAGTGGCCAACGCCTGCGCCGAGCTGGGGGACCGTCCTGTCCGTCCACCGTGTCGGAGTTCTCCGTTTGGACTCTGCAGGGTGTGGAATGTGGACTCTGAATTTTTATTAAGTTTCCTCCAATTTGGGATTGCGGCACCTTTGCATAATAATGTGGGGGGTGAAATAATGGAATTTATATGAATTAATCAAGAGTCTACAAATTGCCAGGATGTGAAGGATGAAACCTGCAGAAGAACTCCACAATGTGACCGGTTGCGCGGTGTGACCGGTTTCGTGGTGTGACCCGTTTGACAGATCCTGTTTCAAGTGGCTGGACCTTGGTCCAGCCCCAACCAGGCGTGACTTTCCGTGTTTTTTGGTGACCTGTGGGCTTTTCAAGTCTTCCCCAGGTGGATTGGACCAGAGGAAAAACACCTATCCTCAACAGACTCCTTTGAGGCTTTGATCAGAACATCCTGCGCCTCTGAGCACCACATTGTACGTAATTCCCGGCATGAGAGGCATGAGAGGAGGCATGATGTTGCACTGTTGCACTGATGTTCATCTCATCTCATCCATACTGCAGAAGCTTCAGTGAAGCGTCCAGGATGCCTCCATTAGCAACATCTTGCACCACTTGCAGAAGCTTCTGCTTTCGGCTGGGACGCCCAACAACACATCCCAACCTGCGAAGATGAGGGCCCTTCTTTGGGGCAACCAGTAAAAGGGATAGTCAGACGCCACTAGGGGCTCCTGGCCTTACTACTAGGAGCAAGAAGCTACTAGGGGCTCCTGGCATCGCTACTAGGAGCGATCGGACGCTGCTACTAGGGCAATCAAAGGGATAGAGAGACTATGGGTTTTGGACGAAAAGATCCGATCCGCAAGACCTCTTCATCCGTTGCCAGGATGTTCGTCCACAGCCGACTCGCCCGCCGAAAAGTGCACCTACGGAAGAGACCCACGTGGCTCAAACTCAATGGTCTCCCATCCCTGATCCTTTGAGCGACTTCTCTCCGAATCACTTGGAGTAGCAACAGCCCAGAACAGCCCTGAGTCTTCTTGGAGGATACTGGACCAAGCAACGAAGACTCCTGGCCGCCTTTGCCGTCCTCCGCGGTGCGCCGTTCACCCCCCGCCTCACTGCACACGTTCCGCGCTTCACCGCGTTGAGGTGCAGGGCGCCACGCACCGCTTGAGCCGCTTGATGGGTCGCTGCGAGGGCGCCTTCGATGGGATTTGCCTGGACGATCGAGGTGTGACTGACGAGGGTGGATGGTTGGGCACTGGATGGTGGATGGGCCTGGATGGGTGGATGGGAAGCCTTTCTTCATTGATTAAGACATTTTAAGGTGTTGGGTTAAGACTAGATTGAGTTTTCTCTGGAACTGGCTTGGTTGGAAGGGTTCAGAATGGGTTGAGACATGTTGAGACCAGTGATTTGCTGATGTCTTTTCCAACTGGACAGCTGCGAACATGGTGGGGTGACGGGTGACACCTGCTTTTGACCTGGATCCGAAAATCCTCACAGACTACAATCTGCTGGAGAGCTTGAACATGAGGATCCAGTGAGCCGAATTCACTCAGATCCTGGGATCCTGAAGACGCCTGTCTCGTGTTCCATTGTGCCACCGTCAACGTCAACATCCGCGACGCCGATGTTGGAGAAACGCGGAAGTCGGTCCGTGATGCCAAGTTTGCAGCTGGTAGGCTAGGCTGAAGTTTTACTGGGGGGTGTGGGGAGCAGACCGTACCAAATATTACTAGTAGTAGAGGTGGTGATACGAAAAAACACAAAATCATGTAGTGGCATCACTTGCATCAGCAAAGGTGTTTGTGCAATGCTCCAGAGGCTGCCGGTTGAATCAGCAGAGGTTTTTGGGCCAGTGTATCAGAGAATGTGAGGAATCGAGAACCGTCCAACATCAGAAAAAGCCTCGGCCTCTCATCGAGTTCCACGTCTCGAAGCGTCGCACATCGATGGCCGGTCCCGGTCGATCTCTGCGCATCGGCTGCCTCTCGAGTAGCTGCGCAGCCAATGGGGGTGCGGAGAGTTTTAATGCCCCAAAGGTTGGCTTTGGGAGGTTCCAAAAGTCCACGTTTGGGGCATGGTCCAATGGCTTCAGTTCTTGGTTCGACCTATCACTTCTTTTTTGGCAGCAAGTCACAAGGTAACTCACCCACCACAGCCAAATTAGTAGTACACCCAGAAGTTGCATGTTGGCTTCTACATTTTTCTTCTACTGGCTTTCATTCCACCCTTCTCAGGTTAAAGTGATGACTGTTAGACTCTAGAGACTCCTTTCAGGTACCCTGAGCAAAAAAAAGAGGAAAAGAACCCGAGAGGCGCCGAGTGGCAGACGTGGAAGGTCCCCTTCTCAGCTCCAAAACCAAACCACCCGGACCTGCCGAAAAACCGCCTCCGCAGATGTCCCGCAGGTAGTGCACCTTACAAGGGAGCCACGGAGCCGATGCAGGCTGCGGCGCGCATGGCGCGGCGCGGCGGGCGGGCGGCTGACCGCCGCTCACGCGGCGCCGGGGATGGTCGAGCGAAACGGTGGGGGAACGAAGGACAGCCAGTTCCAGACATGGCAAGAAAGGATGATCACGAAATGCAGGAGCTGACGGTGTCTGAGACCTGCTACAAGCACAGCGAAGGAGAGTAACAAGTGATTTGTCATTTGCAGCACCTTACGGTGAAGAAGCATGAAGAGCAACACATACACGCTGTTCCCTTTTGTACGAGCACAGCGACCTCGCAAACTCATCCGTTTGCATCGGGGGTTAATCTTCCAGCACCACGACTTGGTAAAGATCGCCCAATCGTCCCCCTTCCCTGAGTGCGATGATAATGAGAACAAAAAATATCAAAAATTCCTTTTTGGTTTCATCATCTTGTCCTCCGGACTCCTCGTCCGGTCGAAGGTTGGCTTACTGTTTGGACGAAAATCCTTTGACATCCTTTGATTCTGGAGCAAATATTACACGACTCCCACAGCCTTCGGCGCCAAGGACCATCGCCAGACCCTAGGACCCAGACCCGCCTTCCCCCCAGACCCAGACCGCTCATTCCACCGAGTTTCGTCCCAAATAGATCCCACCTGACCAAGAGCGGGCCCCCCTTTCTGGCCGACCCAGAACGGCGCCAGGTTTGGGAGGAGCAACTCAACCTCCTAGACCGAACCGCCCGGGAGCGCAGCCGGCTTGGCCCGGCCCAAGCGGCCTGTGCTTGTTGAAACGACCAATTGAGCCTACGTATAGTTGTCCCAAGAAGCCCACGCCAAGTGAGTGATTGATGTCGCCCCATCGCCCAACTTGATTCCAAGAAACCCAGTGGGCTCTCCTCGGTCCAGCTCGTGTGAAGCGTCCATCCGACGGTGATCGAACATTGGCTGGCAAAGACAAGCTTGGCTTACTGATCGCCGTAGACTCTGTAGACCACCTATGTACTCGTGTACTGGTGTTCTGTTGGGACCATGCTCCATTGTGTACACAATTTCTCGGAACAGATGGCAATGGCTCGTGTTAACGGTCATTGACCGTCATCTTTCTGCCATAAAAGCAACAGAGTCTTGCAGATCCACTTTTAGAAGAGTCCCACAGATCCACCAAAAGGGATGGTTGGCAGCTGCGTCTTCCACGGACCCGTCCTCAGGTGGAAAAACATCACACACCAGCCACGCGGCCAGCACCGCTGCTGGGTGCCCAAGCACAAGGAAAACGCGAGAGGCTAGCGTCCATAGAATCCAGAGATGTCCATGATGATGACACAAAGGAGGCTTGGCTAATGATTATACATTTGTGATCATTTGCAGTTGTTTTGTTGTTATCAACTTTGCAGCCTTTCTGGCAGTGGAGATAATATGTTAGTTGGAATCACACCATGTTAGTATGATTCTTAGAGGACATCATGTTCGTGATGAGACATGTTTCTGCCAAAACCCATCCATGTAGTTTGTCAGAGGCTATCTGAGATGCTCCGGCGACGCGTTTGGGTGGCCTAGATTTCGATGCTGTCGACAGCTTGGAGGGCTGCACCAGCATTGTACGAACTGGATTCACTTCAACTGATGTGGATGGTGGTGGGATCACAGGTTTCGGTGAGCCCCGAGTCCCCGAATCTTTTTGAACTCACATGTGACCATCTGTGACCATTTGTGATCATGCTGTGTGATTCAACACCTTTTCTTTCACAAAGGCTTCCTCTTCCACGGCCCCCCCCCCCCGCCCTCCCGTCGCTCCGGCGGTCGTCGGTCCAGGGAGACACTGCCCTTCGCTCGCTTCGCAACCTTCGCTCTCCGAGCAAAAGGAGAGAGTTCGAGAGGGCATCCAAGTGAGCTAGCCAAAGCATGAGATGCTTAGGGCCTGGTATCGGCCACTAAGTCAGTATTCCTCCTAATATAGGTACTCAAACTTATAGAGAGAGGGATGTGATGCCATGCTGCTAGGAGATCATGAGTTAGTATTCTCCCCTAGTATGAATGGAAAGAGGAAGCATCTCCCCAAGGGGTCCCCCCTGCCAGTCAGAGATTTTGGTCCATCACTTATATGCTTTTTGTGTGGTGTGGGCCACTCATCAAAAGCACCACAGGTGTGGGGATACTGCCTGAACCTTGCCATGCTCGAAAGTCACCTGAACACATACAGTATCTACTTTTTTCATAGAAATTGCCATAGTTCTCAGACAGCATAGGAGCACTGACCCAGAAAAATACATCCTTTCTTTGGACCATTCTGGTTTGTCCAGTCTGGCTATTGGGCCGGTCACGCAGTTCAAGGACCGAAGGGAGGTTCCAGCCACTCCTGCCAAGGTCTACGAGGATCTTGGACGAAGGAGGCGGGAGAAGCGCGGGGCGCGTTCTCCAGGGAGGCAGAAAAACGGTGTTCCGAAGCCAGCGACAGCAAAAAGAGATTGATCAGAATCGATCCTGTGTTGGGCATCGATTCCTGGAGAAGATGGTACACAGGACCAGGTAAGCGGTTGCCATGCCGCGCCTTTCGTTGGGGTTCTTGGGGCGGCTTGGGATGTCTTTTTTCCTTTTGTGAAGAGTGGCCACTCTGTGACACGATAAGACGAAGATGGAGTTCAAAAAGATAGATGGCCTTTGACGCCCTTTGATTGGTTTGATGAACAGGGGGGATTCCCCCCAAGTGAACAGCCAAGTTCGGGGTAAATTATGGTATATATATATATGGTATAAACGGTACAACCAATCGACCTCTCCATTTCTTCCCAAAGGTCAAACATCACTGGTTCAAAACCTCAGCCCGTTTGGGGTCTTCGGAACCTCCACCCAGAACGGCCCAGGCGCGTTTCCCCCCGCGGATGGCCCACCGTGGGACCGTGTCGGACCGTTTCCTCGGACCGTGTCGCACTGAAACGAGAGGCCGCTCCGGCGGTCGTCGCGCAAGCAAGGTGTTTGTTTGGACTGGGGGGTTCAGCTGGGGCTCACTTTGTTTTTGGACTGGGGGGAGACCGGGGGAGAGGGACAATTCCAGTGGTTCTTCGTTCTTATTGGCCTTAAGTCTGGCCTCCTCTTCTGGCCAGGCGTGAGGGCAAGTTCCCCTGGGACGACGACGAGACGTCCCAGCCCGGCCTGTTTCACGACGGACGGCGTGAATGCCTCCCTTCGATGTTTTCAGCGACTCTTGGACCGTTTCTTTCCAAAGTTTTTTCAGAAAGTGAGTGCCAGCTTTCCATGAATTCAAGCGAAAGGTTCCACAAACAAGGAGAAGCATTTGCCGATGTGGACATGCAACAACAGAATCTCCTTCAAGAAAAACAACACCCTTTCTGTGTCTTCTGCAAAGAACGTCCCCATCCACCACGCAATGAGGAAGACCACCACGCCACGCCATCCAGGACGTCCCGTGTTCGTCGCTCGCCAGGATCGACTTGGGACATCGGATCTTCCTCACAGGCGCAGCACCGGCTCGAGCGTGGGCTCGCCGCGCGGAGCCGCGGTGGGCTCGGTGCGCTTTTTCTACGTCCGGCGACTGCGGACGTAGCAACTGACTGTGAGGATTTTTCGTGCAGGTGACCTTGGTTTCTTTGATGTCTGGTAACTGGATGGGCGAAAGCCATAGTTCTACTGGAACAGCTCGCACCTTTGAGGTCGAGGTTGTTGAACCTCTCAGCTTATTTGAACTCAAGGGACCGCGGGAAACAGATTCAGAAGTGCATCACCTTCAGCTTGGCACCAGGTTTCAATTTGCTGTGCCCCTGTTGGTTTGACGGTATGAACGATGCCATGAATGATGTTGGATCATCCCCCAAAGCCCCAGGAAGAGGTGGAAGTGCATGGTCATCGGATCGTGCCGCTGCTGTTAGCCCATCGCCCTAGGGCTTCCCTTTCGAACACCACAGCTGTTTGGTGAGGCTGCTCAGATGCCGAGCGTGCACAAGTGGTGCACCGGGTGCTGATTGTGGGGAATGCCAAGTGGATAGAGGAAGACAGAGCGGACGAACAGAGTCAAGGATTGTTGGCTCCAACACTTTGCGACAAGGCGCTTTGACAAACATCACGTCCACTCATGTACTGGCTGTTTTCATTCTTTCAACACCTTTAATGTATATACAGTCATAAACACACGTACACACATGTATGTACTATATATATATGTATATATATATAATTTATATATATATATATATGTATAACAGCAGCACGGATTCCCACCCCCACAATCCAGTTGCCACCTCGCCGCCGGCTCCCGTGCGCGTCCGTCCCCGCGTGGGTCCCGTCCCCGCGTCTCCGCTCCTCGCCGCTGCGCCGCCGTCCCCCGAGGAATGCATCCAGGACTTGGAGCGCCTGGCCGAGAGCAATGCAGAGCTGCTGGCGGTGGAAGGCGGATCCGATCGACGGTCGGTCGGTCTGTGGGGTCGGTGAGAAGGGTCGGTGGGAACGGTGGAGCGGTCGGAAGGGTCGAGCTGTTGGTTGGAAGTGTTGCTGGAGAGGTATTCTTTTGGAGGTGTGAAGCTGTTTGGGGCTCTTTTGGGTTCCGCAGGCACTTGCAACAGAGTTGATTGAGTAGATGCATGGGTTGCTGTGAGGGGAAGTTGCTTGACTGCTCTTCTTGCTTTTTGCTTCAGCAATGCACCAAAGAGTAAAGTTAAAGCAGGACCCTTTTTGGGCGAAACGCACCTATGGACAGAACATGTGTCAAGAAATCTGGTCGATGTGCACGAAGTGACGCCTTTCAAGTTCAAATGTCTTCAACTGATCTTGACATATGGTATGGTTATTTGGCAAGTTCATACATCAACATCCAACGCACATCACACTTCACCATACCCCTAAGTGGAGAACTTGTCATATCACCTTCCAGTACCTCGACCACCTCTCGACTCGTCTCCGTCGCTATGACCGTCTCCCCTTCTCACCCCTTCTCACCGTGTCGTGCGGCGCTGTTCTCGCGGCGCGCTTCGCGCGGTTCGCCAGGTGTGACGGTGTGACCGGCGTCGGGCGAGTCGACTGGAGCGAGGAAGGTGTGGAAACCCCCGCGCCGTTCGATGCCACGCGGAAGCCATGCGTTACACTTGGAGACTCTGGACCAAGAAGAGCACTATTGAGGGTCATAGGATGAACGAGTGCTCTATTTCCAGGGCATTGGTTCCAAACATACGTTTTCTTCCAAAGAAATTGGCATGTCCTAGTTCGTTCAAGGGTCTTGCTTCGCAAATTCTCGATCCAAAAACTGAGATGGCAGAGGACTTCGTCCTCAAACTTGATGGTGTCAGTAAACATGGATCGTAACTACCTTTCAATCTGGTTGAGCTGGCAGTGTTTGTCCGACTGAGAGGAAATTACGAGGCAAGCTATCAGAGGCTGGTGGGTTCCGAGAATTTCGGGGTTTCAGGTCCACCGCAAGACTTGGTTCAGTCCGAGTGAGTCGATGGGTCAATGTCCTTCTCCAAGTGACCGAGTTACAGGTGTCACTGAAATCCGCCCTGCTGAACAGCAGTAGGGCCGAAGAAGGGGCGAGTTCGAATGCCGGCGAGGTCGATGAAAGAGATCGCGCTCCGTGCGATCCGTGGGTTTTTCTGCAAAACGCTGGGCCAAACGCTGCGATGTCAAGCGGGTTTGGACTGATGAAACCTCACAGCTTGCCATGCATTCCATGTGGGGGCGATACGTAACTGACCGTCCCCCACCATGCTCTTTCGCTCGCTTTCGCAAGCAGAACAGGCCTAGCCAGCACCCCGGCTCTGTCCGCCTCCCCTCCGTTGGCTACGTCCGAGATCCGTCAGGATGTTCCGTCAGCTTCTTCGAATGAAACGGCCCAACGGGTCCGTTCTCCCACCGTCTCCCTGCACTGGGGCGGAAAGGTTGAACTGACCGGGTTGGACCCGTGGTTTTCCAGTCCACAGGGACGAGTGATACGGACTGGAGGTGGGCCGAACAGAACCAGCAGGTGGGAAAGATCGATAAAAAAACCGGCCAATCGTACCATCCTTTAAAGAGAGATTTTATAGCCATCGGCCCGAGCTTTCCAGTGAGCTTGGCTGACCGCAGCAAGTCGGGCCTTCCTGTGCCATGTCGAAGGAGCGTGGCACGCGGTTGCCCGCCATCGAGCTGCAACGTATCGGATCCGATCCGATCGAATGTCTGGAGGTCCAATCGGACCTGGTGTGGCGGTGCATCGGCCTGGACCATGAGCTGATGCATTTTGTTTGCTATGGGCCTCGACGTGTCTTGGATGAACCCCTCACTTTAGATGCCACAGGTTGCCGAAGCTTCCCGGTCTTCTCACCTAATGGGCCCCTGATCCCAAAGATGTTGGACATCTTCGCTGATTCAGGTGCAGTTAGTCACGCCTTGAGGACGCTTGGCTTTGACACCATTGCCTCGGTGGACTTAGGTGAGCTTGCTTGTCAGAACCTTCGGAACCAAGCATGTGGAATCACCATCAAAGGTGACATTCAGGACCCCAAAGTCGTTGAATTGCTGCATGACACACTCATCGCTTCCGGGGTTGAAGGGTTCTGCATAGCAGCTGGCTTCCCATGCCAGCCCTTTTCGAGGCAGGGGATGATGTCAGGCCCGGCAGATGTCCGTTTTGGGGCTTTTGTAGGCCTCATCTCGGCCGTTCGACTTCTCAAACCCAAGCTCCTGATGCTGGAATGTGTGACGCAGGCGGGAGAAAGCATGACCATCAAGCGAACGCTGCAAGAACTTTGCGAAAACTTCGGCTGGGTCATGAGGGATGTATGCCTTGAGCTTGGACAGCAGTGGCCTATGAACCGTAGGAGATGGTACTGTGTCATGTCAGACCCGCATAATGTTCCAGACAGTCTTCCGGGTTGGGGAATTGACCCCTGTCGACAAACCGTCGGTGACGTTTTGCCATCTTTTCTGTCCATGACACACCCAGGCGTGCAGGAACTGCTTTTGAGTGAGCTTGAAATTGAATGCTACTCTGACCCACGGCTTGGTCAGGATAAAAGATTGTTGACCTCAGATGACAAATGCAACACAATACTGCATTCATATGGCTCACCATTGCAAAGCTGCCCGTGTGGCTGCAGGCAGTCAGGGTTTGCAATTGCCAGCCTGGTTACCAAGGGGCTCAGGGGATGTTTTGTGATTTCCCCCGGAGATTCCAGACCTAGGTATTTGCACGCCGATGAACTTAGGATCTTGTTTGCACTCCCACCAGGAATGAAGCTGCCTGAGAACCAGAAGGAAGCACTTTGCTTGATTGGTCTCATCGCTGCACCGCTGCAAGTGCTCTGGGTCATGGGAAACGTGCTCCTGGCAGCTTCAAAATATGATGAAAACATTGCTCCCATTGATCCAAGCCTCATCCTGCATGAATATAAGGAGCACATTCTTGCTAGTGCTCAGCCACAAACACCGAGCTCTTTGCATCTCATCAGCTTGGACCAGATCGGACTGCCTTCGTGGACATGCAAGGTCACACATGAAGCCACGGTTTTTGATCTCTTGCGAGCAGAGAGAATCAATAATGAATGGGGACACAAGGTCCGTGCTTTTGAGGACTCTGGGGAAATTCCTGGTTTTGATTTGCTGCTGGAGCACCAACAGGGCATGAGGGTTGAACACTTTGCCAAGAAAAGCAAGATTGACCTACACCCTGCCCGCATTCTTGTGCAGTTCAAGATTCGTGGCACCAGCCGCATTGCACTCCTGCCCCGTGGGAGTATGCTTTTTGAGTTCTTCGACCAAATCGATGATCAGAGACCCACAGCATTGGTCAACCTTACTGGCGACATTGTGCCTTTGGACACAAGGATCTGGTTCCCTGGCAGCTATGTTGCCGTCGACACCGATTCTTTTCCATGTTGGCCTCTTCTCTTCCAATTGGAAGGAAAGGGAATTTCGCAATATGAGCCGTTGACCTCAGGCTGGTATGAAGAAGAGGTGGAAAACTACACTTGTCATCTTCTGGAGCAACAAGGTCTGGCACTAGATCTTTTCTGGACGGCGCGTTGGATAGTTGACACGGTTGAGATCTGGCCACATGCAGCACATCAGAGGATCTTCGACAAGTGGGCCCAAGGTGGCTTCGAACAGGACCGTCGTTTCGGCATCCTATGGGAAGATTTTCACTGGAGTGCATTCCTCATCATTCGAAAGAACGGGCATCTCTTTGTGACCATCCTGGATAGCCACAAGACAGAGACTACGGCATACATGGATCTCTTTTTCGCCAGGGTCAGCCGAGCTCTTTCATGCACCAGCTACACAATTCAGTTGAAGCAGGGCATCGGACAATCCCACGGAACTCATTGTGGAGCAGTTGCAGTGCTTAACATTGCCAGCTTTCTGGACAACACATTGCACTTCAGCGAGCAAGATGCCATCCTGCTGCACACTGAGATTTTAGGGCAGAGAAGTACCAATTCCAGCCAGCTGTCGCCGGCATTCATCTCACCCACTCTCACGTGGCCGATGATTGGAGCAGGCCCAGACATTCAGACCCAGCTTGCTGAGTTGATACACCAAAAAGGAGTTCCTGAAGAGGCCAAGATCGCCAGAGCCCAGACAATCCTCCAGAGGCTCGGCATTCCCCAGGTGACAAAGATCCTTGCAGATCGAAACCCGTGGGCTGCACTCAAAAGCTCTGCCAGTAAGCCGGGGGTCTCCCTGAGAATTCTGTCGGAGGAAGAAAAGACGCAGTACATTGAGATGAGAGCCTCAACCAAGCATGGTGCGAGCATCAAGAACCACAAGGACAAGAAAGAGAGGGCACAAGCTTCCTCCTCGAAGACCGATGTCACCGACAAGCTCATTCCTTCGCAGCTCGTACTGGACCCCAAGATGTTCAAGGACGGAAATGGTGACCAGATACCACAGCTTCAGTTCTCACAAGTTGAAGCAGACCAGCACGGTCTAGCTATTTGCACCCTGAGTGAGGCGGCTGCCTTTCTCAATTCGCCCAAATCCATCAGCCCGCATGCACTGGGCTTGCTGATGCTGGAACCACCAGCTCCAGAAGTCATGCAGAAAGCTGGGGCGGTCAAGATGCGATTTCCTGCGCAATACAAGGTGACAGGTGAGCAAGTCTTGATTTTCGGGGCCCTCCTGAGTATTGGTGACATTGATATCGACAGGGCCACAGCTGGATCGGTCTCCAAGCAACCAGTCTTGCCGACAGCGATCATCAAATTTACCTGCTACCGTGATCAATATCCTGGAAGCTGGCAACATTTCACAGATGCACCAGTCAGGGAAATTCTCAAGATGTTTGAGCCGCTGAACTATTGTGACGGCAAGAATTGCGGCTCGATTTGCAACAAGACTCATCCAGACGTGGACCATACATATGAAGCGGTGATCCTGGAACTTTGGGGCAGGCACTGCACGGCAGCCACCGGGGCCAAGAAGACGCCAAAGGAAGCTGATTTGTTTTCCTTTCAAGTGAGGGTTCCCGCTGCCATTGTGCTCACATTGGTCTCAAACAACCCGGCAGGGCTCTATAGTGATCCTCGCACAGATGACTTCCGTGTCTCACATCCCGACTACTGCGTTATCTGGCTCAACAAGGCTGATTTCACGCAGGTTGAACACCTGAGCCGCACATGTGCTTTTGCCCTCTCCATTGCTCGGCATCGACAGCGATTTGGCATCCGAGTCAAGAAAAGTGATGAAGCAAAGGCCTGGGCACAGCTCAAACCGGATCAGCATTTCCAGCCGGTGAAGATCGAGCAGATCTACGAAGTATCACCTGTGCCGCACGGAACACAGAAGAAGACTATGGAGAAGGTCATGAAGGAATGGAACTGGCCTTGTCGGGTACTTCAGCCTGGACGGGGTTCCCACTTCCACATGTCATGGCAGGTAGGGGCACAAGAGGAGCCTCCAGCCCGAGTGATGCAGGCCTTTCAGTCTGATGTCCTGATCAACCCCATCCGCAAGGTTGAGGTTGAGGCGCTGAAGCCGAAGATCTTTGTCCCACAGAAGACTCAGCAACACTTTCGACAGGTGAATGTCACCAAACCTGATGGACAAGATCCTTGGCTGAACAACAATGATCCTTGGGCACAGTATCAGGCCTCCAGTTCGGCTGCTGCTCCGCTACCGGCACCTGCTTCTACGAAACGGATTGAAGAAATCAAGGGCACGCTTCAGCAGGAAGTCAAGGAGGCCATCCGGAAAGAGCTTCAAGCCGGACATGCCGGCGAGGGCATGTCTGATACAGCTTCTGGCCGCATGGACCACCTAGAGTCATCTTTGCAGGAGGTCAAGAGCCAGAACAGTGCATTGAAAGGATGGATCCAAGATGCTCAGACCAAATTGAACAGGCAAGAAGCACAGCTCACGCAGTTGAAGCAAGAAGTTGGGGCTCAATCGGAGCAGATGAAGACACAGTTCTCCAACTTGCAAGGAGAGCTGAACCAATCTTTCGAGAAGCAATTTAGCAGGCTTGAAGCCCTGCTTGAGAAGCGCCAACGACATGAATGACTATTGCAGACCGGCAGCGCTCCTCGACTGGGACGCTGGCCGGGTTGGTTGACTCAGTCACTTCATGCTCCGCTTCCCAGTTGTCAGTTAGCCCAGGACGGATCGGGTCCCATGT